AGTGAAGTTATGCCTGGGAAGAAGGGAGAAGTGGGGGGGAAGATGTTTTAAGATCCAGTTTTTATTTCTCATTACCCTACTCTGACTTGATTGGTAATTAAATTCATTTTCCCCAAGTCAAGTCTGTTTTGCCTGTGACAGTAATAAGTGAGTGATCTCTCCCTGCCCTTATCTCAAACCACGAGCCTTTTGTTATATTTTCTCTCCCCTGTCCAGCTGAGGAGGGGGAATGATAGAGTGGCTTTGGTGGGCATCTCCCCTCCAGTCAGGGTCAACCCACCACACATACCTTCTACTTCAAGCCCCACTTTCTTTTCTCCCATTTACCTCGTTCCCAGTTTCCTCCTACCCCACCCCATCCCTGACCGCACTTACCCCATTTGTTTCCCTCTCCGAGGACAGTGGACACCTTAGCTGTGATGGAAGGAAAGACGCCGATGGTGACCGTGAAGACAAAGCAGACAGACACAGCCATGATCCAGAGCTAGGCAGATGAAAGAAAGAGGCTGGCACCAAACACAGCCAAGAGACCAGTGCAGGGCTGGTCTCCTCTCCCCATGCTCTCCTACGCCTGTGCCCATGCCCTGACACGGGCGGCAGGGCAGGGGTTGCTGGCAACTCACAGACCTTCTTAAAAATAGCAATGACCGAGGGCTTCTCATCAGGGTTGTAGACAGGGATGATCTTTGAGTTATTCTGCTCCATCCCATTGGGCTCGTCTGCAGGGAGAGACACAAGTAGGGTGTAGCAGACCCCAGAAAGCTGAGATCTAATTTAGACCTTCTGTCTCGTTCTTCCTCTCAGCTCTTCCTCTTTTTCCTTCCTCTTTCTCCTCTCAGCCCCTCACCTTTCTTAATCAGGTCTCTCTTGGTCTCCAGCTCTGCATTGTACACACGATACTCTGTCTTGTCCTTCATGGAGTAGTATCGGAAGAAATCCTGCAGAGAGACAGCCACGGAGAACTCATTCATGTGTGAGGAAAGGTGCCTGCCAGGGGCTGTGTGGTAATAGCAGATATGGGCAAATGCAATATGGGCAAAGTATTCCTTCCACTCATGTCCCATAGTGGTGCTTTCATGCCCACCCAGGGGCTCATTTCCACAGTAGCCTGAGGATAATGGGGTATCTGAGGTGGGAAGTATCCCAGAGAGCTCCCTTGGGACAGGGGCGAGCTTGCCCTGACGCAGGATGCGGAGGCTGATAGGAACCAATGCTGGGGTGGTAGTGGGCCACGGTCCTTGTGCTGTGATGAGGAAAGGTCCCATGTCTCCACACCCTTCCTCACTAGGACGACAAAGTCTTACCATGCGAGGCAGAAGGATGTAGGAGAAAATTGCCAGCACGATCGCCACACAGGCCGTGGTAAAGTAACCGATGAAGCTCTCGGGTTGCTGGGCACCAACTGGGAGCACAGGAAGGGAGGACATGGGGGGAGAAAGGAAGAAGATGACGAAGGCTGAGAGGAACAAGGCCCTGCTGCCATCTCCTACCCAACCCTACAGCATGACCCCAGCAGATCCTTTGACAGCAGTGCTCTGGGAAGGCCCTGTCACCCCCAGCGCAGGGATTACTCACTGGCAATACTGAAGATCATCGCCAAAGCGGCAAAGGTGCCCGCCAAGCCTTGCCCACTCATGATAGGAGCTGTGTAGCTGGCAGGCAGGAGCCCTGCCAGCCCAAAGAGGCTGCCCTGGAGGATGGCACCGAAGGCTGCGAAGGGGAAAGGTGAGCAAAAATGAAAAACCAAAGGCAAAGATGGACTGCACCTCTGCGGGGAGCCAAGGCCCCCGCCCTGCGAGACAAGGCGGGCCCCCCTCCTCCTTGGCTCTCCTGCAGTGAGGTTCACGCTTTCCTCCCAGAGAGATCAGCCCTAGCCGGTGGGGCTGTGCCCCTTTCCTTTGCCCCACTGCCTCACTCACAGTTGATGAAGACGATGCTGATCATGGTAAAGATGAAGAAGGGAAAAGGCTCCATGGTGACCTTCACCATAATCGCAGTGACTAAAAACACCAGCCCAATGGCCACCAGGCTGCCTGAGATGCGGATCTGCTGGGGAATCCTGCAAGAGAGGGTCTCAGTGAGGAAAACCCACCCAGCAAAAGCCTGTGAGGCTGGGGCCACGCTCTCCCATGGGAATCCCAGCCAAACCCAGCACAGGAGACCGGTGTTTGGCCTTTGACCTGACAGAACGGGCTGCATCTTGGCTCGGTGCCGGAGCAGGAAGATGGGCCAGGGCTGGGCAGCCCTATGGGGGCTGGCAGGGGCAAGGATGGGGCAAGGCTCACCGCTGGTGGATGAAGGAGTTGAGGCAGGTGAAGATGAGGAGGGGCACCATGGCGCAGAGAGTCATGAAGTTGTCAAACATGGACTGCAGGTAGGAGCGGGACGAGGGAGCCTCACCGGTCTGGTTCGACAAGGGGCTCTTCTGCTCCGGGTCTGCAAGGCGGCTGATGAAATACTGCGAGGGAAGGAGCCTGGTGGGGCCGAGGTGCTGCGAAGCTTCCCCCCAGCACACTCAGACCACCCTTGTCCCCCTTCCAGCCCCATGCCCAGCCCTCTTGCCACCTCAACGCCACCTGTCCCACCCAGGTGACCCACGTTTCTGTCTCCTGCGTGCAAACACGAAGGCTCTACGCTGTGCCGTGCTGCCACACCTACACCATGGTCCCTAGATGTGACAGGGGACGATTAGTGTCGTGGGCAGCAGCAGGAGAGAAACCCTCACCTCCCTGGCAGTCATGAAGAAATTCCATGGCAGCAGCGTTCCCAGGCCGAGGATGAAGAAGATCAGCCAGACAGCCTTGTACCTGCAGAGGGGACAGAGCAGTTTGGAGTGGGACGCTGGGCAGGGCAGGGGAACCACATCACCTCTGACTGTCCCCGACCCCGCAGCAGGAGGGACCAGGAGGAGGAGGGAGGATGAAATTTATTGCCCTGCCCCACAGCCCCTGCTAGCCTGGGCTACCCGAGGAGATCTGGGACCGCAGAGGGGCCGTGGGAGGCCCTCCCCGGGAGGGTACGAAAGCGGGGGGCAAGCTGGCTGCTCCTCAGCATGTGGCACCCAGATGCACAGGGGCCGTTGCCAGAGCTGGGAGGGAGCCACGATCCCCAGGCATGTACCAGCACCCGGGACTGTTTACAGCCTGTTTGCTTTGGAAAAGCTGACAGAGAGAGCATCTCAGGGAAGGGACACCTCAGTAGCCCAGTGAGCCTGCAGGAGAGGGGTCCCCCAAATTCTGGGTCCCCCTGTTATCCCTCCCTTCCTGGTATCCTGAATGTGCTCCCACAACTACACCAGAGCCCTGGCATTACCTATCTTGGGGCCCGTCTCTTGCTGTCATCTTGTGTGGCACGAGTCAGCACAGGTCCCAGCAAGTCTCGTGGCTGCTCTCCGTCTGGAAAGCAAAAGAGGATTTTATGGGGAAGTGAGGGATGCAGGCCTGGCAGGGGCACTGCTGGTTTTAACCCTGGAGCCGTGCTGCCGCATACGTGCTCCGCAGTACCGGGAGCCAAACAGAGCCAGCAAATGGCGAGAGCACAGCACAGCAGCTTTGGAAACCTGTGGCTCAGAGTCCTTCGGCCGAGGGGCTGTGACACACGGCCTTATTCTGCTGGCTGGGGGACGCCAAGCCTTCCCTCTGAAAGGGAAGCCTCTGTCCTGAGATGCCCAAGCTGCTCAGCGCCGGCTGCCCAGCTGCTCTGCGCAGGCTCTTAAGGGATTTGAGAGCTCTCTGCCCCCAATCCCGGGGCTGTGAGCGAAGCATTCTACGCAGCAGGCCGTGTCCGCCCCCCCTGCACTCCTCACCTCCCTCCAACGCCTGGGGGACGGCGGCACAAAAGACACATTTAATTCAGCAGCCTCTCCGGCCAGAACCACTAAACCCCCACCCCATTTCCAAATTCCGCTTCCTTGGGGCTCTCACAGCCCTTTCCTGGGTCACCTTGGAAAGCCAAGGGCATCCCTGGCACTGCTGTCCCCTCCTCGGTACCCACCGCTCCTTCTCCCCATCACCACCTGCCCAGCCCCTGCCACCGCCCTGGCGTTGCGCTCCCCACAGACAGCCGCTGAAACTCAGCCCTGGGACCCCGAGAAGGGACCTTCCCTCCCCATTCCCCCCCGCCTTTTCCTGGGGCAGAGCAGGATTAGCTGCCCTGGAGAAGCCACAGGCCTGCCTTGTCCTTTTCCAGTCCGGGCAGGACAGCATGGGATGCTCCAGCACCTCTCCCAGGGCTTCATCTGCAGCGGGGCTCCCGGTGCTGAGCCCCCGGCCCTCCTGGAGCATAACCCTCAGCCGCCCGCACCGCTGCTGGCTACAGCATGGCTAACACACCCCCGCCCG